GTAATTATTGCCACGAGTATCTAAAACCTACTAAATTAATTAAGACTTGGAAACGTAACGGCACTGTTGGTGTTGATCATAGAGAAAATTATTTCATATTTTACTATAAGTAGAATAGACTGGACTATTTCAGTTGGAAGGGACCTACAAGGATCATCTAGTCCAGCTGCCTGACCGCTTCAGGGCTGACCGAAAGTTAAAACGTGTTGTTAAGGGCATTGTCCAAAAGCCTCTTAAGCACTGGCAGGCTTGGGGCATCGACCACCCCTCCAGAAAGCCCGTCCCCGAGTTTGACCACGCCCTCGGTAAAGAAATGCTTCCTCATGTCCAGTCTAAACCTCCCCTGGTGCAGCTTTGAAGCATTGCCACGCGTCCTTTCGCTGGATACCAGGGAGGTCAGCACCTCCCTCTCCACTTCCCCTTCTCAGGAAGCTGTGGAGAGCAAGTATTATATAATTATGTATTATGTCAGATGAGATGTCATCACTGACATTAAAAGCTGCTTATTGAAGCTTTACAACTTCTGATCTTAATTTAAGATTTTTTCCAAATTTTGCCACAGCAATCCTACTCTAGACTCTCATTTCTGTACTTTTTTCTTTTAAAGGCTGCCACAAGAGTAATGTAACACGGTAATGTACGTTTAAACGATGAGTTACCACCACAGCGCAAGTCACATATTTTGTTTTTCTGGTGTGTGTGAAATTCAGTGTTGTGTGTCGTAGTTTGCATTTATTACTGAACTGTATAGAAAACGTAACATTTATTCATGTGATGTAACATGATGTGATGTATAAATATAACACGTATATGATGTAGAACACATTAAATTCAGTATTTTGAAAGTTTACTTTTAGAACTAACCATATCAAAATCTGTTTACGTGTAATTGTGTACAACAGAGCTAGGAGTGCTTCCTGAAAGCACTTTATAGTAAAATGTCCAACGATGCAGAAACTAACGAAAGGGGAAGATAACTGTTTTTGGTGGAGCTCTGTCAAAAAATTTGTTTTCAAGCGATCTTAAATCAAAATTCAATCCAAATTCACAGATTTGTTTTTATTTTATAAAATATGTTGTTTGGAGGAGAAGGAGCTGCTGTTCCTTTTCTGTACCCCAGGACTTGAACTCAAGTAAGAGCTGGGTTCAGGTCCCCTTGATGCCTTTGGACAAAGATTTAACTTAACTATTCCCCCACCATCTTCCTCCTCAGAGACTACTCTGTCAATCTAGAAAAATATTCTAACCTAGGAGCGCGTCCGAATTTTGCTTAGGGAACGTAATATGCTTTGCTGAGTGCCATGATGAATTTGAAAGAAAGCCCCTGTATATGGATGCTTTGGGCCGGCAGAGAGAAGGAAGAATCCCACATTCCAGTGTTATCCAGTGTCTATTACAGTTTTCATAGGATTTTTTTTACTAGCACTTTGTTCAAACCAAAACTGTTTGCCAGAAATTCTGTAAAACTGAAACACGAGGCGGTTCCCTCTTTTCTGAGATTTGTGCTTTTGTTTTATTTAAATGATGTACAAAGAGAGTTCAGGTGAGATGCTCATGACTGACTGGTCTGGGGTTTTTCCTCTCCATTTTGTAGCAATTTTTCCTCCTCGCATTTTGGCTGCTCGTCCAGGGCAGAAAAACTCCGTTGGTGTTCTTGAGGACAGCTCCACTGACAAAGAGGCAGAGGAAAGCATTACTTACACTACAGTCGACTGGAGAGAATTTATGTGCAATACCTGGCATTTGGAACCCACGCTCAGGTAACAAGCAGGCTTATCTGCAGTCTCTTTGTCCACGCATTTTACCTGTGGGTACTGTCCTGCATACGACAAGTGTTTCCAAGTTGATGCTGTTCAGCTCCTAAGAGGATCCGTCATGTGGAGGCTGTTACAGATTTGGGTTTGGCTATTTGTGCTGCTATGAAAGGTACCTGCTACAGGACATGACAAAAGCTGGATAACGCGATTACCTATTACATCAGTTAACTTCTAGATTAGAATTTATGCAGATTAAAGATATTTTTGGAGGCTCTTCAAAATTAGGATACAGTAAAATTAAACTCATTAAGGACCACAGATCACTGTGTTTCACTCTGTCCTACGACAGTCCATTCACTTTCTGCCATACAGTTTTTCATCTTGCAGTTTTCCATTTTTAGCATTTCAGTTCTAGTCCTGCTACAGGACATGACAAAAGCTGGATAACGCGATTACCTATTACATCAGTTAACTTCTAGATTAGAATTTATGCAGATTAAAGATATTTTTGGAGGCTCTTCAAAATTAGGATACAGTAAAATTAAACTCATTAAGGACCACAGATCACTGTGTTTCACTCTGTCCTACGACAGTCCATTCACTTTCTGCCATACAGTTTTTCATCTTGCAGTTTTCCATTTTTAGCATTTCAGTTCTATTTCTTCTTTAAGGAGTCACCTTAAAATAAAAAAAGCACTATATGCTAGTTGCTATATGGCAGTTTAAACATAGCACAAAAGAATAGTGTGTGTAGCAGCAACTCACTGCTCTCAGTATACACTTTTAATCACTGAAAATGGCTTCTCTCTGTGTCAGGCTTTGTTTGTTTTTTAACCTCTGCTGACACTGCTGGAGCACCTAAGTGTTCGTTCACACATCAAAACAACACATCCCAGGCCAAACACATCTTGGCAGTTGGCATTTAATCAATTTAAACATGATCTGGAGGCAGCCCAGTCTGGTTTTTTGCCTCCTTGAGCATCCTCTTCCTTTGAGAGGATGTTCCATTCGTCATCTTCAGCTTATCTGTATAAATTAAGTTTGAAATAATGCCTGATGGACTTAAGTAGGTCAGAAGTAACAATGGTAAAAATGGATGTTTGTTTATACAAAAGCCAGTTGCTACATTTATATATTTGCGATGGAGTCCCCTATTTATTGTTTTTTAGGTTAATATCCTGGACTGGGAGAAAAATTGATCCCGTTGGTGTTGACTACATCCTCCAAAAGCTGGGCTTTCACCACGCAAGGACTACTATTCCTAAGTGGCTGCAGCGTGGTGTCATGGATCCTTTGGACAAAGTTTTGTCGGTCCTTATAAAGAAACTTGGTACTGCACTACAGGATGAAAAGGAAAAGAAAGGAAAAGACAAAGAAGAATACTAAACGTATAATGTGACAGCCGTAATTCCGTTTGATTTTATCAAAGTGGTTTGTTATATTTTACGAATTTAAATATGGTTTAAAGAGAAACCTAACAGCTTTTTGCTACTCTATTTAAAACTTACATTGTGAGTAACTGTTTACCGTGGTACATGATACCATTCTGTATTTGAAGTTATTGCATGATGATGACCAATGTATATTCTATGAAGGAATAGCTGGAACACTGTAAATCTGCTCCTCAGCGTCCACTGTTTTATTATGTGCAATACAATTCCTGCATCTTTAAAATACTTGCAGATTAACTGTGAATTTTCATAAACTTTATTTGCCGTAACATAAACCCCTCGTTGATGTGACCGGTAATTGATTTGTCAATGTAGACTTGTGTAAATTATATATATATATAACTTATGAAACTGTGATTGCCTTAGTGCTAAAAATTAAGTTTATTACACTTGTAATAAAATTTAACTACTGTACAGGCGTTTTTTTGTTTGTTTGTTTAACTTCCTTGATTAAAAAAAGAAGTGTTTTACGTGTAACAGTGCACCGAGTTATCTTTTACATGAGGTGACTCAGAGGCCGCGCGCCAGGGGCGAGCCGG